GCACTGAGACTGATCTGCACCTCGGCTGTCAGCGTGCGGTTTTTCGCGAGTCTACAAGAACCAGGGAGATGATGCCATGTGTGAAGTGAACAATACATAGCTTGCGTTTTACACTGTGTCATATAGTCCGCAGAGAGAGAGCGAGACAAGGAGAGACAACGAGAGACAGAGAGAGAGAGAGAGAGAGAGAGAGAGAGAGAGAGACAGAGAGAGAAAGAGAGACAGAGAGAGACACAGAGAGTCAGAGAAAGGGGAACAGACAGGCAGAGAGACACAAAAAGAGGTACTGTAGGTCTTGCAGCAGCGTTTGCATGGGTGAGGCGGTGTTGCTTCACTGCAGGACGTCTTCGAGGAGCAAAAACCCCGAAACTGAGAAACAGACTCGCTGAGCCAGACCTGAGGCTCGATGTGCAACGGCTGGTGCTCCAGCCATCGAGGTCACTGAGGTCCCTTGCGGGTGCCGGCATGACACCATCTCCACTTAGCAAGGGACCTGCCAAGAGACTAAAGTGTACCACAGTCCAGACAACGTTTGCCATTGTCCCGGCCTAGGCAGGCATCTAAGGCGCCTGACAGAAATTGTGGATTCACTGCAGAGCTTGGAGTGTCACCTTTTTGTGCCGACCTTGAAAGCTCGAATAGGAGCCACATTTCCCGCCGACGACGAAGACCGCTAAAAGCAGGGCAGCAGCGGCTGCAGCAGAGAGAATCTTCCTGCATCGGACGGAACATGTTGGAGCGCAACACACATCGCGGGGCGGAAATGAAGAGATCATAGGCCTGTCGCGCACTGGCTTCACCAAGTGCTTCGAGGCCAAACACTTGCCAACGGTGAACATCAAGGTTGTGAACCTGCTGTAAGAATGTCTAATGTCTCCCGACTCCCAGGGAAAACAAAGCATGCGTTCGAAGTGCAGATGTCGACACCCCGAATCTGTGAAGCACTGAAACCGTGGTGGATCGTGCCTGCTACGGAGATCAGTCGCCTCGCTGGCCTTACGAACTGAGAGAAGACTCGCTGCAATTGACAGCGAAAAACAGTCAGTGCTAAGCATCCCTCTCCTGCGAGCAGCCCCGTGACCTCCCCGAGCTCCACTACCTCCGGGCACACCCAAACAATTTTCTCTCTGTGCATTTCAGGAAGACACTGCCTGCTGGCCCTCCTGCTCATTGCGGAATCCTGTGAAGAGGACCAAGGTGTAGGCCAGCAGAATCCTTGCACCCGACAAAGACGCACGGAATGCTTCAGATTTCACAACCCTGTGCCTTATCCAGAAGACATAGCCGATGTGGAACCCCACGCTGGTTGCAACCACAAACGCAGGCGGAGATACCTTGCTGACATCTCTGAAGAAAGACTACAGCTCCAGTGCATGGTTGGACTCATCACTGTGTCGCCCTGTGTCGCCATGGCACGATGTGGACGTGGCCACAAGTCTGGCCCAGGTGCTCTCCGATCGAGAAAAGCACTGCCTCTCACAAACTGCAGAGAACACCGAGACTCACCTCGTGTGACTCATGTGATGCACTGCCTGCAAGCCCAGCACTCCAGCCGCAGCAGAAAGCTCCCAACGCTCGCAGTATGTACCCTGCCAAGGACAGATCGGATTCGCACCTGCACTCACGTGAGATTGCCTCTGTTTGCACCTGAGCTGCACCCTTTGTGACCACCTGTGCTGAGCCATGGCTGGCAAGATTGATGTCACGGCTACAATCGGCTACGACAAGCCTGCGTGCGAGTTGTGGACGTCTGGGCATCTGCCAGCAGCAAGAACCACAGCCAGCATGCAAAGAACATCCTCAGGACCATGCACACGTTGCAATTAAGGTACCAAGAGGCAGATGGTTAAGTCCAGGACAGCGTCGGGATATTCCTTCCCAGCATGTCCTGGGGTACGAACAGTCACAGAAGTTTGCAAGACACCCGAGTCCAGGACCCGAGGAAGACTGACGTGGCTTCTTTCAGACTGGGCTCATAAGCCATCAAGTCGAAGGACCAGCCATAGTAGAAATGCGTGGTGTACACCTTCGTGTGAGCTTGCTGAGGCAAGGCAGCGGGACACCCTGTCTTTGGACTGGCACAGTACGGTTCCACAAGGCTGGGACCTGCAAAGCAGCGAAGCTGATGACACCGGGTCCAGACAGGATGAGTGCTGCTGAGTGCTGCTCCTCGTCGTGGATAGGGCGAGTCGGCACCTCCGACAGGCGCATGCCAAAGTGGATGCCTCGAACTGACACACCATCGGCGAAGGATTTTGCTGCATGCCGAAGCGAGGCTGCTCTTAGCGAGCCTGAAACCACGATCAGCAAGTCCGGGCTGTGGCGCAACACCTGACTAAGAAGGCAGCCTTCTCTTGGGATTTGAGATGCAGTGGCCTGACACCTGTCACCGCAGGACTGCAAAACGGGCAGACGGCCAAACGGAAGTCCAAGCTGGCCGGGGAGACCGGAAGACGAACAGAAAAAAAGATGGCGGTTGTGACAGAAGTCTTTGAGGGCACTTGTTCGCCAATGCAAAAAACGAAGCCCAGGTGTGAACCTCCTTCGCTCACTGTGGTATTCCGTGGCTTCTCGGGCGTACATCTGCACTTGAAAATTCTGCAGCCTGCTGCAAGTAATTTAATTCACCTCCTGAGACGTTTAGATGTTTCGGTGTGCCTCGAAAGTCAAATCTGATGCTTACCTTCTGCTCATGAAAACTTTTGGAGAAAATATGCAGAAAGCCTGCACTTCGCAACCTCGAGACTGCGTGTAGCATGGCCCCAAGCGGCTATATAGATCTGATATGAAAGGGGCGATGGCGACTACAAGACCTGGAATCACAAAAAGCTCTAGACTCTATAAAGCTTGAACCGATCGGTTTACTTTCTCATAACTAAAGCAAAGGTTCCGAATCGTAGATTTTTCGCGATGCGTGGAAAATGCTTCCCAGTGTTCAACAGATACCAGACACGTCGTTGGCATCACTGCTCGAGCTCGGCGCCTCCTTAGCGCCCTTCGCCGCTGCAATGGACCAATCCGTCTGCCGGTCGCCCGTTCCCCACGTGGGCAAAGCGATCCTCAGAGACGCGAGGTATACAAACTCAACTACCATCTCTCCTTCTTTGTCTCCTCTGCTGGCGATCCTTATTGAAAGCACCCTGAGTCTGGCACCCGTTGGCCCGCACCTCGTTCCTCTACACAAACCGCACCTACTTCGCCCCGCATGTCACTCGCACGCCTCAAGTCGAAGCCAACAACCCGAGAATTGTCTCTGTACCTGGCGATTCTGACGGTCATGAAGTCATGCGTTCGACATGTCGCGAATGTTCTGGCCTTCGAGCAACCAGACCGATCCCTTCAAGCCAATCTTTCTCCGAGTACCTCGAGCAGAGCATGCAAATGATCATCAGACTGAAACAAGGCCATCTTGGACCTTCACGAGGAGCAGACCGTACGGACATGCTGACATAAATAACGAATCTACACTGAATCTACACATGGCATCCCACCGTGGCCAAGGCAAAGAGGGATGCATAGCTTAGCACACAGAGAGGATGGGGGGCTCGTTCCGCTTCGTGAGGAGCTGCTGAGCCGCGAGTGGGGAGTGTTCTTGTGTCTGGGGGGACTCTTGGTGCTGGGCTGCTAGGCGTCGCTAGGATCAGACACGACTCTGCTCGAGCTCATGAGAAATCAGCCTGACACTTCTCCCCAAACCAACATGTGCAACTTCACGAATCTCACGCTTCTAGAAAGAATCTGCTACCTCCCGTCTTTCCAAGTCAAGTCGGTCCCCATAGTTGCAATAGTTCTTCGTGTCGAGGACGCACAGGTATCAACGTTCGGTCCAAGTTGGAAAAGGAGTCGAAGCTGTAGTCGGTGTCGAGGAGAGGAATTCACTTCAAGTGCAAGCAAAAGCTGAGACACAGCAGCACAAGTAGAGCTAAAAGGCGTGGTGTGACACCGACAGATTCAAAAGGACGAGATAGGACAACGCAAAACAGGGAATCTGGGGCGCAGCAGCAAGTATTTCTGAGTTTCTCTGCATTTTTGTGCTGCCAAAGGAATCTGAGAGGCAGTGCCGGGACAGGGTTGCCCGGATATTTCATCGGCAGCAAAGCTCACCCTGCCAATCATGGCCAATCCGAAAGGACGTGTGGCAAGCCGGGAACGGATTGCGCTTGGACCCAGGTTTAAGTCGACGATATTTTGACATGACATTTCCTACACTCTTACGCACTCTTACACCCTAATTTACCGGCCCATCGTTGCAAAAGCGTGATGTCCGTCTTTCAGAATGGCATTTTCTGACCCGGGGATCGAATTCAGCAACAATGACAAAAGATTGCTCCAGAAGGACAACATCATCAGCGCCCAAATCGGCATCAGCGACGAATACCTTCGAAATACTGCGAAGACAGGATGTACTGCGGGAAGTCTTCTGACAAGCATGATTGATGGGTGCACAAACAAGGGCAAGGTAGTCGATATCTGAAAAGCATCGGCAGCACCACGGACGGGACCGTCATACGTCTTATGCTGTGAGGTGAGGCTGCTCGTGATTAACCTTCCTAAGACAAAAAGGCTCCTCTTGCTACAACCCAAGAAGACCAAACGGTCCCCGCACCAGGAACTCTCTGAGTAACGAGGTGCAAAGAGTCTTCGTGCTTCGCTGCTCCTCAAGTTTGTAGTCGGCATTCCGCACGCCGTAGCAAGCCATGCGACTGCCCATGCGACTGCCCTGAGACCGAGCAGCGGCTAAGTTTTCAAGCAAACGAGCCAACTTGAGCTAGAATCAGGGTTGGCGGTCTCTTTCGAAGTCCTTTGAACGAACGACCCTTGAAGAATGGATGGTTGGTAGGGCAACGTAAAACTCTTTGAGGACTGGGAGGTACAGTAGGCCAAGCACAGCATGCAGCACGACGCTTTGACCACGATGTATGCAAGCCAATGTGCTATCGCACCTCGTCGTGTACCAAAGCCCTTCACCGTCGGTCCCACTGCAGCACCTTTCGTGTGGAGCGCGAGTGCAAGGGCCAGGGCAGAAAGGGCAGCCCGGGCAGGGTACCAACCAGCCGATGACACGTGATTGTTGAGGACCACGAGCAGACCAACGTCGGTCAAGGCCTAAAACATCTTAAAACTCTCAGTCTCTGGCTCTAGCGGACTCTAGTCGAAAGCTGCTTGCAGATGCGGCTCTGACACGGTTTTATCGAAAACCTCCAGCAGCTGCCAGCATGGATGCGAAGACTAGCTGTCCATGTGTTGACAAAAATGGCCTGCATTGGCGATAGTCCAGCCCACTCAGGATTGCCGGCAAGTGCCTCCATCGTAGTGGCAACGGAGAGTTCGACCCAATCTGGCATTATCTTTGCGCCTTGAGGCTTGGAACAGACACGTTCCGAAGGACCATTTCCTTTCGCTCCACCATATCGTACATATCACGGCCAGTAGGCCAGCTGTCTGTATACCGAGCTTTCAACCAAGCTGAAAGGCAGCCGCACGCAATTGAAGCCGAAGGAAGCAATCCTGCTGAGACCCGACATGTTCTCTCATTGTCGCAGTATCGAGTACTCTGGGCATGTTTGACACTTGCCTGAACCTTAGACCCTGCGTCCTGGTGGCCAGCAGAGATGCAGGCTGGTCATCCAAGCCATTGTTCACCATCTGTCTCAGATGCGCACGACAGCAAGAACAACAGCAGGAAAATAAACACTGCTACCTCTGTGATGCACCGTACCAATTCACACAGGCAAGCATCACCTCGTCTGAAGTATGAGGGCAGCACAGCTCTCACAAAGTCTCAGGAAACATGAAAGACATCACACTCGGGCCAGCACACGCCTGCCCGACTGACCCACAACAAAACGACCTGCACCAATGGTCTCAGACATAGAAACCGCCACACGAATGGCATGTCGTCTCGCCTTTCGTGCGCAGCGGAAGGTCTTTTGCTGGGACAAGCCTTGGCTGCGCTATGCTGCGCTCGGCAGCACTGAGCTATCTTAGCTAGACCTGAGTCAGATCTTTCCTGCAAGGAGCAGTGCGGCTGCGTCAAAGCTGGGTGCCTGTAGAAAGTAGCGGCGAGGTGCAGCTACATGAAGCACAGGCAGTTTCGATGCTGCTGCCTGGTTGGCATCCACCATGGTCAGGAAGATCACCTTAACCGCGAGGTTGGTGTCCAGAGCATTTCTCCATGTTCAAAACCATAGGTGCCATTGGTCCGGGATCTGTGCCAGAAGCATGCATGGGGCGTGGCGCGTGGAGGCTCGAAAACCTGCACTGCAAGCTTACATTCGATACCTTGCTAAGTTGATGTTCAAAGAAGTTTTGCTGCAGACTGACCGTCCTTGGAACGACATCGCCTGGGCATTGAAGGATCCGACCTTTCCTGAAAGCTTCATTCTCTCCCAGACCACAACTTCGAGCACGAGCCGGCCCAGCAGCCTGCGCTGCGGCCCCCAGACATCGCTCAGAAGCACCCGTCCCTGCCCAGCACCTGAAAGGAAGGTCGTGACTTTCGAAGCCTGCCCCACACGAGCAAGCACTCCGTGCCTGTGCCAGACACAAAGCATGGCGCTACCGCCATCCGCCGCCGCACACAAACGAGCACACAACGAATCTTCCGAAGACGCTGGAAGATCTCAGCTAACGTTTGCAGCTGTCTTCGATCTTGCACTGAGTCCGACTGACTTATGACCTGCTTTGGACTGCGAGACATTGTGAGACTATTTGATATTTGTGCGGCCCTGTGTGTGAGCGATCGTCAAGGCAGGCGACAGACACAACATCTCTGCATTGCGAAGAATACGTGTCAGCCAGGCGATGCCAAGCTGGTTACACTGAACCACTTGGAATTGGAGGGCCTCGTCTCGACCACACAATCGGAGCTGCCAAGATGCCATGCCCACTGCCCGCGTGGACCTTTCCGGAGTCGAAGCGAGCAATGCCTGTCTTCACGGCTTGTCGGTTGGTGTCGATCTGAGGAAGGCTGCCCATGGTGGTGGCACTGCGTGGCTCTTGGCCTTTTTCATCCGCTAGCATGGAAAACTTGGCACTTCACGATACATAGCTGGCTCTGCAGCAGGCCACCGCGCTCTCAGATCTGCAAAGATGCGAAGATTGAAATCCTTTGGCATCACCAAAGATGACGTTATGCACAAGGACTGCAGACAGCAGCCACCTTGAAGCTCGTCACCTCAGATCATGGTGCCATGGGCCAAACCCGGAAGCGTCTAGAGTCTAGAGTCCAGAGTCTAGGGTTGACACATGCGCTCTGGCCGCTGATGAAGCCGGCATACCTGACTTGACCCCCTCAAAGACACCTGGATTTAACGTTGAACCAAAAGCTTGCACCAGCTGCGGCCTTGCACCAAGCGACATAAGAGGTGCCTTCTCCATCTAATCTGTGTCCGCCAAGCCCGCGAAAACTTCTGCTGGCCTGAAACACTGATAGATAGAGGCTCCGCAGTACTGCGCAGGCTTTGCAAGCAGAGCTTGGAGGATCACTGCAAAATCAAGCAGCTGTGTGAAAAGCGCTGCTCGTTCGGTGTGTTTGGATGCCGTCTTCTGAAGCATTACCACGGAGCTTCTAAGCACTCAAACTGCACTACAGTCACCTGCGGGCAGCAGCGGTGGTACAACGTGTCGTCTTCGTTTAACATATGTACCACTATGGGCATTGCGCAAGGCCGAAAGGCAGGTAAGTCCGTGCCCGTGGAGGGTTACACTACCAAGTTTCTCGCACATTGCTGCACTACCCGGGCCGGCCAAACGTCCTCATGCATCCTAGCTTTTCGAATAGCAGCCCCTGGTTTCGAGGGCCAATACTGACACGCGGGGATATGAGTCAATAAGGGGTGTTGCAAGTATCCAGCAAGTTCGTGTGTTTGAACAAAGGCCCTTCAACTCCTTGCCACACCTGCAAGAACTGCTAAGCGACGCTATGCTGCGACTACTCTGTCACACATGCGAAAAGTATCTGCACGTGTACAAAGAACATTCACGAGTTGGAGATTTGCTCGGATGCTATGCGCTCTGCGGCAGGTGCCGAGGATCATGCCTGGGATAGTCACCAGGAATTCCTCGCATTGAAAGGGCTCCCAAACATTGCAAAGCAATCACGAGCCACTGCGGCGCACTGTCTGCCCAGGCATACGCCACCTGCCAGGTCATCAGGTGGCACTGACACATTGATTGCCGACAAAGTTCGAGGAAGCGTCCCTATTGCTGCTGCTGCCTCTGCTGAGTGATTCGGACTGCGGACACAGCATGTCGACACTCAAACATCCCGATCAAAAGGAAGCCTATCTAAGCAAGCCCTTCCCGACGGCAATTTTGCATCGACCAGGAACGACCACGGTGCCATTGCCTCTGCACCCCGTACAACGAAAGTGCCACCGAGAAGGAGCACTCCCTGTGCAAGCGCAAAACTCTGCTCCAATCCTTTGCAATTCTGCGTGGGCGAAGTGTTCGCACCTCCGGCACTCCGCTTGCGTCTCTCTGCTGTGGAGCCAAAGACGTCATCTTGCTGAAGTAGCGAAACCTGCGGTAAAACTTGCCACCAAGGGTGAACGATCGAGCAGCACAAGCTTAGTTCTTGGCAGTCCCTCCACGCCTCCCAGATCGGGTGCCTCAGGGCAGCTGTAGATCCAGAAACAGTTTCGGGAGCCATCTGCACGATGATTTGCATGGCACTGCGCTGTATCCCTCCCATCATGCACCTCCAAGGACACTCCCTCCACGGGTTTGCTTCCGAGGCGACCAAAGTTCATCGCAGAGTAAGCCTTCAAGGAAGTATTTCGGCTGCATAGGATAACCGGACTCACACATCAGCTAGTTGTCCCTGGCAGGCACACCATACAGAAAATTGAAGATTCCGGATGAAACCTGGTACCCTGCCGAGTCATCAACAAAGACCTGCACGTGAAGCACTTCAGAACATGCACTCAGTCCACAAAACAGGCACACGAGTCGCGAGCCTTATTTCGAGGCACTTCGGGAAGCTGATCCAGAAAATCGTTGAGCTGTGCAGCCTGAAACGTCGCAGAATCAGAAACAGCACAGCGGCAATAATTTAGTCATCGCAGGGGCAGTGCTACTAGTAGTAGTAGTAGTAGTAGTAGTAGTAATAGTAGTAGTAGTAGTAGTAGTAGTAGCCGCAGCAGCAGCAGCAGCAGCAGCAGCAGCAGCAGCAGTTATCACAATACCAATAATAGCAAGCATAATGATGAGGATGACAACAATACAACTACAATTCACAAAAACAATAACAAC